TGACGAATTAAAATTCTTTCCTAAATCTAAACCCTAAGAATACTATAAAAGGCGAAGAATAAAACAGAACAAGAAAAAAGGGGGAATTTACAGAAATAAAGAGATTTACAGAGAAAAAAATTAGAGGAAGAATTATACAGAGAAGAGAATTTATTTTCAAAAGAAGAATCAGAAGAAGAATAGGGAGAGCTTGTCTCCATTCCCGTTGCAGATCCATATCCACCGCTCCAGTTTAGTGTTTCAATATATGAAACCCTAAATCCACCATTGTCACCTTTAATCATCATCATCCGTCGTTGTTATCATCTTCATCGCCACTTCACCTACCAAACAAAAACAGAAGATTAGCAAAAAGCCCTCATTGGAAGCAAACGTAAAGCACAAAGAACGATCACGGCCAGAGGTAAAACGACTTAGATTTTTTATTTTTATACGATTTGGGTTGTAAGGGATAAGTTATATCTAGGGAGTAAGGGAAGGAGCGTCGTCGTCGGGATTAAGATCTAGGGTTTTGGGGTTTCGGTGTTATTCATGTGTATTGTTGGTGGAGTGAGAGAAGAGATGAGACGTGGAGAGAGAGATAGAAGGAGATAATGAAATAAAGTGTTTGTTTTGGTAAAATGAAATTATATTATGCCTAATAATCCCATACGTGCGCGCTCACAATCACCATCACACGTTACAAACACGCGCACCCATGATAACCACCATGCGCTCACCTACACTCGGTCCAATGGGACTCCCAACCCCTTTTGGGCCTAGCCCATTACCAATCATACCCCTTTTTTTTTACTTACGCATGCAAAAAAAACACCCCATGGCCAAATGGGCCAAGTCCAATATCTGGGCCTTCATTTTACTACCCCATGGCCAAAAAAACACCCTCCATTTTACTACCTAACTCTAAAACATACTCCTCTGTATTTTGGGCCTGACTTCAATATCAGAATTCAGGCCCATGCTGTTAACACCTTCTAGTTTTACTTCTAAACTGTATTCACACCCCCCTTGCGTTTTATTTAATTTTATTTATTATTTTCTTATAATTAGTTTCCATATTTTATATTTCCATATATATATTTATAATTTTAATATATTTATAAAATGATATTTTTCTAAACTCATTCAAATATATTTTATTTATTGCATTAAATTATTTTTTAATCATGCATTTAAATAAGATATTTTCTACAATTAACACATAAAAACATTTAACCAACAATAAAATCATTTTCTTAATCAAATTAATTCAACAATTAATTTTTGAAAAGAGTTACGAATATATTTAAATCTACTGGGCACTTAGTCTAACAAACTCCACTATTCACACACCTAGACTAAGTATGCGAAAAATTCAAATATCTTCGTAACCCATAAAATACACAAACCAACTGCGAACTACGAATTGAGACTCTGATTCCTCATAAGAGGATACGTAGGCATATGATGAAAATCATGGAGAGTTCCCCTAATAAAACTTAAAACCCTATTTCCTAAAGAATACGCTTCTAACCCTAGTATCCTTGTGAATAAGGTAGATGGGAAGTGTCTAACACCTTCCCTTCTTCAAAACTCGAGTCCCAAAAAACCTATAATCTCTAACTTTTAGGGTTATTCCTTTATATTCCATACCTTAGGATAAAAATTAAGGGTGACGACTCTCATTTTAAAACCAGTTACAACAGATTGATAATTTTTCCAATTTGAGAATCAACTTTTCAATATCCATATATGTTGGTTATAACATATTGTTGAACTTTATTTTGTATTATGTTTCTATACTATTATTAAAATGATTATTAAAATGATTTAAGTAGTCATCATACTACTACATTGGGTAGTGACAACTATGAAGCTTCAACGCCTAAAGTGGATCGTATAAATTGTATTAAAAATCTGCGTGCAACTGAAATTAAACCAAGCAAGTCCAAATTAATAAGACTTTGGGCACAACATCAGCACCACCCAAATTCAAGATTAAAATAGAGGGGAGGAATGAATTACTGAATGAAAATATATACAATAGGCTAAAGAAGAATTTGTTCTTTCTGCCTGAAGAAGATGGCAATGATTTTATCCTCAACTTTCATCCATCAAGTAATATTGGATATAAAGCTTCTGATAATGGTTTTGTTATTCCTGAAATAAGTATTAACTAATTATTATAAGTAAAACCTAATATAACATAATATCAATTTATTACTTACAATTGTCTTTCTTTCATATGTATTTAACGACAGTGGATGCCAATGACTTTTAGACCCACCCCAAAGATGATTTTGAATGAGGAAGAGCAACAAAATGGGTATGTCTTTTTAATACACATGCTAAAACCTAATTATAAATTGATTTTTTACCTTTAATCTGATAACTGACAGTGCATATGTCTATTCTTTGTAGTGATGAGATTTTGATTAAATCTATATCAAGTGTAATTGGGGATAGGGCAACATTGAAGTCTCTTATGTCCAATTGTCCTGTTGACAAATAGGTTATATTTATATGATTGGAATTAAAAAAAATTCATATTAATGTAAAATTTTGATCTAATATCATTTTCATTTGACTATAAGGATTATTAATCTAGTCGTTGACAGACAAAATTGGGTGATGGATACCTCGTGAAGAATGAAGTCTCTTTGGTATTTGCCTATCGAGTTTGCGGTGATTACCACTTTCATTTCCAACTCTTACATTTACAGTGATTAATTATTAATTATTTACTTAAACTACATTTTGTTTAAGCAATATTGTGTGAACAAGCTAAGTTTATGACAACAAAATCTTCCATTAACAGGGTGATTTTCTGTTACTTTACAAAAATAGTTGTTAGATTCGAAATTAAAATTTGGTTCATATCACAAAATATTATTTTTTTTTAATAGATTTTTATTCATATTAACGACCAAGATGTGCACTAGTATATGCTGGTTGTTGATTTATTGATAGAGAAGTGGTTTGGTTGGACTCTACGCCTTCTGACGAAAGATATCGTTTTAGACGTCATGCAATTTTATCTGTTGTATGTATGTTATCTATTATTTGTTGTGCTTTCCAATCTATTGTCTGGTGTTTTTAATTCAAATGTGGTATTTACTATTGTGGCATGTCCTATATTATAACATTTTTGATAATTTTTTACTGCATATCCATATAACAAAATTTTTTGTTGGAGAATAATAGTTATTATTATATAGAGCATGTCTATAAAATTAAATATTAATTTGAATTTATTTGACATGTTAATAACATGATCAAAATTAACTGTTTTAAAGAATTTTTATAAGACATTATTTTTTATACTTCTTACTGACATGTCAAATAATTTTTATTAGTATTAAATTTTATACAGTGTCTATATGATAATTTCTTTGAATCCAGTAGAGGATTTTGTGATTTTAGATATGCGTTAAATACTTATCGAACGTATCTTAACATTAATTATGAGATTTATGTGTCAATTTGATCCATATATATATATATATATATATATATATATATATATATATATATATATATATATATGAGAATTTACTTTATTTTTTTAAAATATTATTAAAATGAAAGGAAATAAGGATATTGCTTAAAATTATGTAAATTAATCTATTTATAAATACATCAAAGATTATGAACCTTAAGATTGCACGAACAATGGATCGAGTAAATAGGAATCGGGGAGGAATCGAACCTCCCGGCCGGCTAGCCCGCGTTCCAACCGATCCGCCTCCATCCTCCACTCCGTCCTTCGTTCTCCCTTAGAATCAATAGGAATACTCTCTGTCTTTTCACTACTCCGTGAATAGTCCTATACACAGTCCACTAGAAGTGATTAAGGGTCTGCTCAGTTAGAGTTTAGTTATTTATAAAAATATTCTTATATAAGCCAAAAGAAACTCTTTTTATCTTCCAGTTTCTGGGTGGTCCACTTTCTTACTTGTCACAACCGTCTCTCAATTGCTAAATCATCAAGGAAGTTCTCAAGGATTAGAGCGATCTCCTTTTCTTATATATACGAAGTGTATAGTTGAAAATTAATATCTATTGTGAAAAATGAGAACTATTTTAAGCATCAAATAATAAAATTTAAATTTCAAATTTGCCAACATCCAATAGGTGCCACAATTATTATAATATTGTTACAAAATTAGAATTTAAATAAATTGGTCAGAATTTTAGAAAGATGGTTTTATTTATTATTTATTTATTTTTACTTTAAAATATAGATCAATATATTAGAACATTCAACTTTTTTTCATCGAAATAAATTATAGACCAATATATTTATAATTATGTAATGAATACCCTTATACCAATTATAAAGTATAAATTAAAGAACTATATCAATTTTAAAGTATAAAATAAATATATTATGAATAAAATCAATTTTTTGTTTAGAAAGATCTACTATTCTTACCATTTAAATAAAAACATATTATTGATCTATCACCTATATATTTTTATTTGATAAAAAATATTATAGACGTGATCTATACAATAATAACTTTATTTTTTGATTAATATAATGGTTAATTTTTGTTGATACAAATTTTTATATACGTGATTTATATGATAATAATTTTTAATTTAATTGTAGATTTTGTAATACAGATATGTGATAAAGAGTTATCGAATGTGCCGTAATCTTAAAACTATAGTCTCAATGTTCCAAAAATATATTATTATGATAAGTTTTCTTTCATCTATGAATATAGACAATGTTAAAATGATACAAGGTGATATAAAGGAAAAAATATTATCTATAGAAAGCAGATTAGATAGAAAAATGTTTTTGACTGTATGATTTTTAATCTAAATTGAAAAATTAGACCAATTGACTTTTCACCATTATCTAATTTTTTTTTCTATTTAAATAAAATAATTTAATGGATGTAGTTTTCTATTTAACCTCCAGATCGGCCAACCCAATACCATACTTCCATCTCAAATCATTGTAGAAACTTTTAATCTTTCTTTTCTTTTATTTTCCACTTTAGTTAATAATGCAAAGATTCATTACCTGTGTTTTGATTCTTTCTTTCATTTCACCTTGTATATGTATAAGATTGAAATATGTAACCGAAAATAATACTTATAATGTGATGCAATATGGTGCAATTGGCGATGGCAAATCTGATGATACACAAGTATATGTTTTTATGCTTTATCTTTATAATTTTAATTTATATTTATTTTATATCATTTTATAAGTAATTGAGTGACCTTAACAATATCTGTTACTTATTATATTTATATATTGATTTGTAGGCATTTTCAAAAGCATGGACTAGTGCCTGTAATGCAGGAGGAATGTCAACATTAGTTATACCATCGGAGAAATCATTCTTGGTGACCAAAGTAAACTTTAGTGGACCTTGCGATAGCACAATTCTCATTCAGGTATATAATATATAAATAACATTACTACACATCATTATTTTACTTTCGAAAATGAAAATATTTAGGAGCTCTTTAAAATGCTTAAATAAATTATAATAATTTTTTTCTATATAAAATTGTAGATTGAAGGGAAAATAGTTGCACCTGGTAAAGAAGAGTGGACATTTGAATCACGTTGGATTACTATTGAACATTTAAATGGACTCAAAATTGATGGCAATGGTCTAGGAGAAGTCGATGGCAATGGTTCTACTTGGTGGGATTGCCCAAAATGTGCTCGACCAGTGGTATGTATTGTCACTATTCACATTAATCAATTTCGTTAAGAAAATCAAGAGCTCATTTATTAATACTTAAAATTAATAGCTTAAGAAAATGTTTGTAAGTATATCAAATAATGAAAATCTCTTAAGCCCATAATTGACATTTTGAAGTTTTTGTAAGTATATTGTGACAAATTCTTTTTAATGGTGCAGGTGTTTCATTTTCATTCATGCAATAATCTTACTGTTAGTAACCTCACTATCAGTAATAGTCCAAAAGCTCATGTATCTGTTAATAAGTGTAATGGTGCAACATTCTCTAATATATCCATTGATTCTCCTGCTCATAGTCCAAACACGGATGGATTTGACATTTCTGCTTCTACTAATATCTCTATACAAGATTCCAACATAAAATCTGGTAATTAAAGTTTATATATATATTATATTAGGATGTTTTACGTTTTACTTTTTTCTTAAAAAGAACAAATATCCATAAAAGGGAAGTGAAACATATTTATTTATGAAAAAGGAGATTGATTAATTATATTATTAGAATGACTAAATAAAATTTAAGAAATAGTAAAAAAAAAAGTTTTATTATATAATTATTTTTTGTAATGAATGAATAATTTGTTTCGATTTTTTTTTCTTCTTTTAAATAGGTGATGACTGTATTGCCATCAACGGTGGCTCATATTTTGTAAATGTTAATCGAGTTGTTTGTGGACCTGGCCATGGAATAAGGTTTGTATTTATTTAAAATTTAATTTTTAATACACATATGTATAAATTAGAAAAGTTACAAACTAAATTTGTATTTTGAATTTAATTATTAGTTATTTTTATTTAAATATCAAATGTTTGTTTTTACTATGATATATTAGTAGAGAGTTTGAAACACTTGTAAATTTATTTTGTTGTGTATGAATTTCATAGTATATATGTATTTATATTTTTATCAAGATATCTCATTATAACATTCTTTTATGAATTTATCAGTGTTGGTAGTCTTGGTAAAAATAATGCAACCGAACAAGTTTCTGATATTTATGTACGGAATTGCACTTTCACGGGATCTACTAATGGAGCAAGAATCAAGACAGTTTTGGTGAGTAGATCTAACAAATTAAATGTGTTTATAATTGATACAAATAGAGCTAATAATTTATAAATGAAATTTTCACATATACTTTGCCAATTAAAACTCTATATTTTTTTAATCAACTTTTAGTTCAAATTCTATGTAAATAGAGATTTGTTTTATAATATATAACAATATCATAATATATAATTTATATTTATACTAGTATTGTCAATCGTAAATTTAAAATACAATATTTTTTTTGAACTTTGTTATGTTAAAAGTGATTGTTTAATCGTTATTTCTTCTTTCTAATGGAAAAGAATAATGGGATTCTGCTCTACTTCCACTTGGTGGAAAAGATGTGTTTCTTTTTGGATCAAAATAGAAAGATTCTTCTTAACAATAATAATTTGATCAAATTCTCCTATTATGTCATCACAACACCTTCTTTGTGTCAATTTATTTGCAGGGTGGATCGGGTTATGCAAAAAATATTACATATGAACAAATCATCCTTGAAAATGTTAAGAATCCAATAATCATAAATCAAGAATATAATAATTATTTGGAGGTACGTATTTCACTCCTATTATTTTATCTTGTAATTTCAAAAACAATGTGTTTTATTATTTACTAATTTTATTTGCATAATATACTAATTATAATATCAAAGTTATCTATGAATTTCATTTTATTGTAATTATCAGGAAACATCATCTGTGTCGGTGAGTTACGTGACATTTCGAGGATTTAACGGAACTTATGTTGGCAAAGTAGCTATTAATTTAGATTGTAGTTCATCTGGTTGTTTAGACATTCTATTGGATCAAAACAACATTTTACCTGCTGAAAAAGGAGGGGCTGCTTCTGTTATTTGTAGAAATGCTCATGGAACAGCTAGAGATACTATTCCACAAGTCTATTGTCTTTCTGAATGAATAATGTGTTATTAGCCTTCACGTCATATGTTATAATGTAATTCAAAGCCTTTTTTATTGAGGCTAAAAGAATAAAGACTACGACTAGAATTTACACTATTGTTTAGTCTCATCATTGAAATCAATAAAACAAATAAGTCCATACTTCTTTTATCTCTATACTTTGTTCCATTCTTTATTTATCTCTATTTGTTCCTATAAATCATAGTGACGGTAACTCTACTCCAATTCAATTGTATTTTATTATAATTAAGGATAGAAATTATGAACAGGAAATTATAATAAAAATATATTAAAAAAATGGAAGAATGCTTTGTCACATAAAAATGACTAGAATTATATAATTAATAATTTTATCTAATTAATTTAACAAACTTATTAGTTAGCTTAAGAACAACTAACTAATCTATTATATATTCATACATTATCCTATAAACTGGAATGTTAGACTTCTAACTTAAAATTTTTGAAAGAGTTGGAGAATTTTTTTATTAATAACCAAGTATTAAAATAATATTTCGTAAATAACTGAGTTTCGGAAAAAATTACGCAAATAATCATGTTTCAGATGACTCCCTAAAGGAGGAGCCATCTCACTTGGCGCCTCCACCTAGTGTTTTGCCCTAGGCGCCATCTCACTTGGCGCCTCCCTTGGTTTTTAGCCAAGTGAGATGGCGCATGCTCCTTAAAAGTGAGAGGAGGCGCCATCTCACTTGGCTCCTAGGACAAAACTAGGGCAAAATGCTGTTTTATAAATAATTCGTCCGTTTCTCCGAAATTTCTCACACTTTCTCGCACTATATTTTTATTTTGTACTCTGTTATTTTCGTCATGACGTCGCCTATGATTTTTAGCAGAGATGGTTACGTTATCTTCTCTGCCACGAAACCTGCGATGAAAATGAAATTCTGGCACATCCACTCCATGGAGCGTCTGAAGCGGGAGTTGATGCGATGGCTAGATGGAGACATTGCTGAGGGGGAAAAATTCGAAGGATCCAGCGAAAATGAACCACAACCTCACATGCGACAGGAAGACCTAACGTGTGGTTGGAGGAAGTCAAAATACACAGCGATGTAATGTTGATGATGCATGGGTCAGATGAAATTGTGTTAACAGTTGTAATTTCGTAGATGAAATATCGTTAATTATTTTTTGGACGCGTTTTATTAATTGTAGCAGAATCTGTTAACGGAAAACCCAAATGTTTACAACACAATTATGAAAAGATTTTATGTATTACAATATTTATGTGGTCGAGGCATACGCCCGATTCGGACAGTTTTTGCGATTGTGTCTGACCTGACGGCATAAACCACACTTTCTTTTCAACCTATCTAGATCGTCCATTTCTGTTGTGATGCGCCTACTTTTGGGACGACCCTTCTTGTTCCTTCGCATTTGGTCATTGTGCCACACTATATCGCCGTCGTATGCAGGCCAATAATCTGGTTTTGCTACCAAAGGAAAGTTGTTGTTGTAAACATTGAGCAACGTTTCAGATTTGTAAATGTTTGACAGAAGTTGCAGCGCCTCTTGATGGGTATGAGCACAAGCGGCAATTACATGAGAGCAAGGCATACGAAATACTTGAAACCTGCCACAATCGCACCATTGAGAAGGTAAAATGACCCTATATTCTTGTCTTGCCAGGCCTTCATTATGGTCGATTGTCTCTTTCACAATGAAGTTGTGGCTGTGTCGGTCAAACCGTGTAACCATGTGAGTGTTAGCTTTAGCACTTTCAGCCTTAATGTATTTCATGCAGCTTTCACTCCATAGTTGTCCAGATTGCAACACCGCATTCCACATTTCACCTCTTTTGGCAAATAACGCATCCATCCTAAAATATGTAGATTTTACCAAGGCCGTGATTGGGAGGTTTCGTATGCCTTTGAATACCCCATTCATTGATTCAATAAGATTCGTTGTCATATGCCCCCATCTTTGGCCATTGTCATATGACCTAGTCCATTTTTCCACCGGAATATTGTCGATCCACCTACCGGCTTCCGGACTAGACAAACGAATCTCGTTGCGGTAATATTTGAATGTGGGTTGTGTCAATGCATATCCCGCATTCATAACCGCTTTCCTCAATGTTTTGTCCTTGACCTCCCTCGAGAAATTATGGACGATATGCCTAACGCAATAGACATGCGTAGAAGGAGGGTCATGCCAACCATTTGCTGGATTATTGTAGGCACTTTCAATGGAGGCATGTCTGTCCGAGATCAAACAGAGATCTGGTTGAGGAGCAACGTGTGTCCGCAGATTTTTCAGGAAAAAGCTCCAAGCACCACCGGTCTCCCCCTCGACATGGGCAAAGGCAATGGGGAAAATGTTGTTGTTGCCATCTTGTGCAACTACCATCAATAGCGTGCCTTTGTACTTCCCATACAACCAAGTCCCATCAATTTGTATAATTGGTTTGCATGATGAAAACCCTGTGATGCATGGTTGAAATGCCCAAAACACGCGACTGAATATTCCGTTGCCATTCAGTAGACTACCATCTTGGGCGTACGCTGGCAATGTTTCCAGAACGTAAACACTACCTGGAGAATACGTCTTGAGTGCATTCAGGTAGCGGGGAAGTTCTCGGTGTGACTCCTCCCAGTTTCCGTACACCCTTTCAATCGCCTTAGTCTTTTCTAACCACGCCTTACGGTAAGACAGAGTGTAGTTAAAAACTGTGGTAATGTGGGAGATGATTGTTTTCACCTTCAAAGATGGGTCGTTGCTGACCAGGGGTAGGATTTCTTGACAGATTAGATCATAGTTGAGTTTTCGGTGGTCCTGTGATTGAGTGGAACTTACACAAGTGTGGGTAGTCATGGAACCTATGACCCAGCAGTCACCCCTTAATCTGTATGATGCGGTCAGCTTGAACATACAATTAGGGTGGACACACTTGATCTTGTACCTTTCCGGGTTGACACGATCCACCTTAAAATCAACCGAGTTGAGCATGTGAAATTTTTTAATGGCCCTGATGCATTCCTCTCTGTTACGAAACTTGTCCTTCTCTTTTAAATTTTCATCCGACTTCATATACGGATTGAAAAATAAGTCAGTAGAAGGTTCATCTCCGCCCATGTTGAAGTTTGTCATGTGCGGAGGTGGTGTGTAGATTTTGTCTATAGGAATACTAGGGATGCCATCATCGTCATAATCATCATTCACCATTTCATCAAACTCTAACTTGTTATCTTCTTCTTCATCATCAACTGCATCTACCTCATCTTGTTCATTCTCCAAAGGATCAACCTCCTGTGTCACCTGAGGCTCTCGAAGCAAAACGTACAACTCAATAGAGTCGTATCCAGAATAGACATGGATGGAAATCATATTCTGGAGATCCTCGTCATCTTGAACTTCAACCTTATAAAAAATTACTTGGTTGTTTCCAAAGAAAATTGGATTCTGATAAAATATCTGGGACACCGGGCCTCGTTCAAGTTTGGCCTCCAATCTTTTTTTGAAGTACGAGAAATTGGCTTTCCCGTTTAAGAGAAATCGGATGTTGTCTGTGTCTCTAAACAAAAACCCAACGGTGGGACAAATGTATGTCTCACCGTTGAAATGTGCTTTGATGACAAATTGTGGTGAAGAGGCCATTGCGTAGAATTGTTTTAAGGTTTGAAGGTTGGAATGTTTGAGGTTTATTGATTGTATGAAGGTTTGAATGCTGTAATGTTTGAAGGTTGGAATGTTTGAATTTTATGAGTGATTCGAAGGTTGGAATGTTTGATTGTTTGCAGTTTGAAGGTTTGGTTTTAAGAACGTTTGAAGGTTGGAAGATTTGACAGATTATGTGAATCAATGTTATGATAAACGTAAGGCTAAAAATTTCAATTAAGTAAGGATGCAACCCCCCAAGGCTGCCAATAATATTACATGCAATAATGAAAGGAATCCCAAAGGCTGTCACGTAGCCTGAGCCTAGGCTGCAACAAAGGACACCTCTTATTCTCCAATTGGGGTGGCGACACCATTCATTTTTGTACTCTTTTGCCAAGTCAAATGGCGCCTCCCTTACTGTCCAATCGTGATACATGCATGGGCTTATGTAACCCCCTAGGCTGCCACCTAGCCTGCCCCTAGTCTGCACCTATACATGTATTTTGTAAGACTCCTCCCATCAACTCCAATGGGCTTACATGCAATAATGAAATGAATCCCAAAGGCTGTCACGTAGCCTGAGCCTAGGCTGTAACAAAGGACACCTCTTATTCGCCAATTGGGGTGGCGACACCATTCATTTTTGTACTCTTTCGCCGAGTCCAATGGCGCCTCCCTTACTGTCCAATCGTGATACATGCATGGGCTTATGTAACCCCCTAGGCTGCCACCTAGGCTGCCCCTAGTCTGCACCTATACATGTATTTCGTAAGACTCCTCCCATCAACTCCAATGGGATTACATGCAATAACGAAAGGAATCCCAAAGGCTGTCACGTAGCCTGAGCCTAGGCTGTAACAAAGGACCCCTCTTATTCGCCAATTGGGGTGGCGACACCATTCATTTTTGTACTCTTTCGCCAAGTCCAATGGCGCCTCCCTTACTGTCCAATCGTGATACATGCATGGGCTGCCACCTAGCCTGCAAGAGTGACACCTTTCATTTTTTGTACATGCATGCATGCATATGTGTAACCCCCTAAGCATGCAAATGTGACACTTCGCAGGCATGCAAGCACAAGCAACCACTATATCAAATTTATTTGCCTATAAATACATACCATATCATACATCTCTCACACCCACACAAGTCTCACTCTCTGCTACGAAATATTTCATAAGTCTATCATAATATCTATCTCTTCCTAAGTCTTTCATACTCTCAAGCATTTTAAACAATGGCTCTTCTAACAATGGGCGATACTCACAGAGGCACAAGGGAAAACATTGCCGCATTTGTAAGTTTCTTTTTTGGTTATACATTTTTCATACTTCAAATAACGCATTGTTCATCTTAATTAATCTTACACATGTTAC